AATGTCTGCCCAATTACTTTAGGAAATCAAACTCATGGAAAAATTTTCATTGGGTTAAATCGGAAATTTTTTGATGGACGACAGATTAAATTCAGAGCAAGTCGATCAACACTAAATAATCCTATGGTGTCACAGCATTAGTAGAAAAGTATACCCGTAGTACTGCTTCTCCCTTTATACAGCCTTTATTGATTTTAGATTTACTTTTGACACAGTATCTAGAGATAAACTATAGTATAAATTTAAATACTTTAGATAAATGTCTATTGCTTTTGCTTATTAAAATTCATGAGAATTCGAGATGGAAGGTCATGTGTAGTAAGCAATGACATGTCACAAGGGAAATACAAAGAAGAAGTGGAACTAAACAAAGATGCATTTTATTTAATTTTTATATAAATTCAGTGATGTTCTGTTTAAGTAATCCTGCCTGTCACTCTGCCAAATTAGTCCATCAGAGTATTATTGTGTGCTGTAATTCTTCCTTGATTTCTATTGATCTTAAAAAGGCTTTGGGATCATTCATCAGTTACTGCAGTGAGGAGGAATTAAAAATAAATTTTGCCCAGGTCAGGATCCTTTCTTTTTCCATATGCCTGAAACAGACAAACTTAAAGTTAGGCAGACATACCATTGAACATGCCAAAAACCTTTCAATATTTAGGGTTATTTTTTCAAGCTTCTGGCAGCCAGAATGGTCATCTGGTTTATATATATCCCAGAATGCACAGAGATCAACATCTAGCTTTATTATGCTGATCAAGGACCACAGTTTATACCTGCTTTAGTAAAGGTGTCTGCAGATAAAATCCAAGCATAACTGCTCATACAGGACTCAGATAAAATCATAGAAAACATGGCTACAACTGAGTCCAGACTAAATTTTGAAGAAGCATCTCCATATCTCCATTGTGTCACAAGTATGATACTTCAGTGGAAGCAGGAAGCAATAAATTTGAATCCAGTCTTCGGCTAAATTTTTTTATACCAGTTGGTCCATTTAATACTGGCAAATAATTTCAAATCTCCTGAGTAAAAGAAGTCCAAAGGGGACTGAGTTATTATGGCAGTGATGCTATTCTACCATTAGGGCCAAATCAAGCTAAATTAATCTTAGGACAAAGGATTTTAGATGTAGAAGAATCTGTAACTCCATCCAGGTAATTTTTTGTAGCACAATATTTAGTCCCTCTAGTCTATGAGTAGATGGGCAATTCTTAAAAATGTAATAAATAAAAGTGGGGGACATTTATAAATGCAAGGTGTTTTGTTAGCATGATTATTCAATTGTTATATGCTGTAAACTTCCAAACTAAAATAGCATTACCATTGGCATTTTAGATCCTTTAAGGACACCTTTCCTGTTAAGGAGAAAACTAATTAGTTGTTTGGCCATATTATTAGCCTATTATCTTCACATGTTTCTTCGTGTAAATAAAGTTTCAGAGCTAGATTTCTAGTGACAGAAAAGGCTAACCTTACCATCTGCAATGATGGTTTGCTATCTTTGTGGAGCAGACAATGGGAAGAGGGTGGAACCTTCCACATACAGAATTGCCTACTTCCTAGCCATCCTATCTCATGGCTCTTCCAGATTCTTTCTTACCTGCAGGGACTGGTGCCATGTGAGTACCTTGCCATTCCTTTAAATCTTGAACCAAACCTAGCCTAGTGCCCCCTCCCTCCTCTTTATGGGAGAGAGGGCAACTGTTATTAACTCTTGTTGCTCCTCAGAACACTGCATTATTGGGCCTAGCATTGTTGCAAATTCAATCTATAAGCAGCAGACCACACAGCAGGTCTGATGGATCTCTCTGGCAGAAGCAACAATAAATTGAACAACCTAGTGATCAAAACTCTGCAGCAAAAAACTAACTTGGAAAGATGCAACCAAGAAAAGGAGTCTCTCTAAGCTCTTCTTCAATATAATAAGGAAAGGCTAAAGTGACAGCACAAGAACTTTGACTAATTCCTTTCATTTCAAAGATCACGAGCATACATATTTACATATGCAGCTAGTTGCTTCTGGAAATATGAAGCAACTTGCACCTGGGCTAAAGTTTTAATAATGGTTACCAGTCTCTTTACCTTTCACATTGAATGCTGATGGTGTCAAAGTAGCAGTGATCCAATGGCTGGCCTAGACAATCAGGAAGATGAAATAGATTCTTCCCAAATGCAGACATTATCTTCCTATATTTCTGTTGCATATATTCCTCACCATACATTAAAACACAGGGCATTTTCCCTGGCTTTTATGGGCAGGGAGATTGCTTTCAAGCCTGCAGCAATTGATCATTCCTATCCCAGGTATCCCCAGGGTCCCCCCAAAAATTTCCTTCTAGCATATTGGAGGCCGTTTTCTTTACCACAAGTCCCACTTTTTTTATGCCAGCCCGGCAAAATGAGATGGCTCAAGCTAACTTCTTTGAAACAGGATGCAAGAATAAACTGCATAACTTTTAACATATTATTGTCTCATATTTTATATAATGCATTTTAAAATGTTCATTTCTCAAGAAATTGGAGCAAGGAATTCTAATAGGTTACTTCAGTTATTTTGCCTTAGAAAATAAATTAAAAATTAAAATGATACTGACCCATTTTGATCTGATGCTGCTCTGTTCAAACCTTGCAGATTTGTAAATTGCAGTTATAGATTGCAGTTATAGAACTACAAGTAGGAATATCTTTATAGTAATGCAATAAGCCCTGTGATGGTCCTGTTTATCCAAGTGGTTTCATTCAATTATCCTGGATTACTTCTTTTTTTTTCCTGAGTTGACTTTCTTCTACTTCCAATGTTGTCTTTTCCTTATATCATGGCTCCTGATTTCTAGATTTCTTCTGACTACCTCTTACAGTAACTTCTCTATAATCTGAATATGTGTGAAACCTGAATTCATATTCACAAAAAGGTGATGATGCTTGAATCTGTACATATCAGAAAGCTGTCAACTTGGTGAAGACTGCCATTTTTAACTTCTGTACCTTATGAATTATTCATATTTTGTGAAATACACAATTGAGATTCCATACAGATTGCATGTATTGTTTTTTGTTCCTGATATTTAGCTAATTAGTTCACTCATGAAATATCAACCCCCTTCAAAACTTACAACCTTGTTTTCTGAAGATGACTTAGTCAATATCATATATGCTTCATGTCTTTTCTCTTCTCCACTTTAGAACATTATCCTTTGTACTTCAAAAATCAAAAGTAAAAACATTTACTTGAATCAATGTTCAGACTCATTTCACCATGCAAATACGTATGGAAGATTTCAGAGTGAAAGGATATGACACAGGTGCTAATATTTCACTGTATTAAGCAGACACAAAAATGCTCAGAGAAGAACAAAGAAAGACAGCCACTTCTCTCCCTTGACATACTATACTGGATTGAGCTGCACAAATCATTGTTAAAAGAAATTTAAGATCTGAAGTGAGACAGGGATCAATTCTCTTCGTGACCTGAATGCTAACACTGTATACTCATCACTGTCAACCAGAATGGGCAAAATGACCTGCCTAAAGCACTATTTTATGTCATCCTTTTCCTCCAAGGAAGGTAATTGACAAGTTGCTGTAAGTAATAAAATTAAAAGTTGCATGTTCTCAATCTTGCCACAGCTCCTGCCTTTGGATTGAGCTGACCTTCATGCATCTTTGAAATAATCAAATTGTCCACCTTCCAGAGAGAACTCCTAGATTTTCTCAGGTGTACAGAAAATGTTTACTAAACAAGTTGTTCACATCATTAATAGTGATTTTATTATCATTATGGTAATAGCATCTAAAATTTAATAAAAATAAATATAATATTGTTATATTACTACTACCTACATTTCTGTTCTGTGAAAGGATGAAATTTGGAAATACATGTTTACTTATGCCTTTGACAATTATGCAAAATACATTTAGTTCATCGCAGACCAACCCCATGTTTCTGAGATTAGCAGAAAAAAAATTCTACTAATAGAGCAGCATCCAAGAATTTTTGAGCAAAGAGCTCAATCATATTATAGAGAATTAGTACTATGACAGGGTTTTAAGTATTCTGTTATCCGAGAATATTAACAGACCCAAGTAAACACAAGTTCTCAAATTGATTGCAGCCTTTTGCATTTCTCTTTCTGCTTATTTGCAGAGTGTGATTAAAAGATTAAGATGACAGCTATGATGGTGCAATTTAGACTAGATCTGTGTTTTATATGCATTGATTTTTTGACTACAGGTAATCAACTTACAACCATTCAGTGATAGTTTAAAATTGCAATGGCACTCAAAAAAGTGACTTACAACCATTCCTCGCAGTTATGCTGCTCACAGCATCCCTATGATCATCTGATCAAAATTTGGGCACTTGGCAACCATCATATATTTAGGACAGTTGCAGCATCCTGGAGTCATCTGAAAGCCATTTATGAACCTTCCCAGCTGGCTTCTGACAAGCAAAGTCAATGGGGGAAGCCAGATTTGCTTAATGACTACATGGTTGTTAGTTTCAGTGATTCACTTAACAAACATGGCAAAAAGATTGTAAAATTGGGCATGGCTCATTTAATAATTGCCTTGCTCAGCAACTGAAATTCTGGTTTTAATTATGGCTGTAACTCGAAGACTATCTTGTATACTCTGCCAACACTTCTGTTCCCCCTTGACATTCATTTTGTGCAGGTTTTGGTTGCATTCTTACATCTGAAAAAATTAATTTTGCTTTAGCCACGACTGAATAAACCACATTTTTTATTCAACATGCAAAACTACAAATAATATTCAAAGTGCACGCTAAACCTAAATCAAACAAGCATAGCATAGTTTCTGACTAAAAGGTGATTGCTTCGAGAATCTATTCTGTCATGCCTTTCGGAAGTTGTAGTTCGTTGTCCAAAGTTGATTTTAAGTTTCTTCAGCAGAAGAAACTCCATTTCCCAGGATTCCATGGAAAGCCTATTACCATCACATGACCTATCCAGGGAAAACAAGAGCCGAAATAAGAGACGTTGGCCATTTTGCGAGCAAGCGTCGCTATTACTGTTGCAGACGCAGCATCCCCCATCCCCCCCAGCCGCGTCTTCTCTGCCCTCCAGGTTTTGCCGTTTGTTTTCATTTTTCCTTACATTTTCTCTACTGCTGAACTTGAGAAAATTCGGGCAAACCCAGCCGCGGCCTTTCCCCCCCCGAGCAGCGCCCATCCACAGAAGCGCATGTCCGCTTTCCAGAATCTCCAATCCTTCGGTAAGAAACGGGACCCCCTTTGTCTTTAGCCTCAGTGACAAGAGGACGCATCGGCACCGGCTGCGTTTGTTTCTTCGCAGGGAAATTGTTCACGGTTTGGGCTTTTCTCCCCTCCCGTTTCTTCCTCCTCCATTCCTTTTTACGTTTTCCTTTCTCCGTTGCCTGTCTGCTGCAACTGTGGGCTGCTATTAGATTGGTCTCCTTTCCCACGGCCGTCACGCTGCCCGTGAACATAATAATAAATAATAATGTTGGAAGGGATCTTGGAGGTCATCTAGTCCAACCCCCTGCTCAGACAGGAAACCCTATACCATTTCGGACAAATGGCTGTCCAGTCTCTTCTTAAAAACGTCCAGTGTTGGAGCATTCAGCACTTCTGGAGGAATGTTGTTTCACTGGTTAATTGTTCTAACTGTCAGAAAGTTTCTCCTTAGTTCTAGGTTGCTTTTCTCTTTGGTCAGTTTCCATCCGTTGCTTCTCGTCCTGCCTTCAGGCGCCTTGGAAAATAGCTTGACTCCCTCTTCTTTGTGGCAGCCCCTGAGATATTGGAATACTGCTACCATGTTCCCCCTCGTCCTTCTCTTCATTAAACTAGAGACATACCCAATTCCAGCAATCGTTCCTTATGAGGACAATGAGCCAGTATTCGCCACGGTTGCAAACCAGTATTTAATCGGGCAAAGCTTGGCTGGGGCACGGACTGAGCATGAGGAATATGCTTCTTTCGCAGCCCTGCAGGTTTAATATTGATGTAGACCTCTCCAAAATGTGTTGGTTGAGAAACGGGGAGGTATAATAAGCGCTGCCCGAGAAAGCCCGCCTGCCTTCTTCTACTACATCTTTGAACTGCCCAGCAGCTTTAGGGGGAGGACGGCAGGCTCTTCCCGCCTCTCCCCAATCCCAAATGCTAGTGCTCATCTGTTAATTGAAAAGTTAATTGAGAGCTTAATTAATCCTTTTGAGCCTTCTTCTGACATCTTACTTTTTATTCTTAAATGTGTGTGCTTGTCCTAACAAATTATACTCTTATTAGTTGAAAGAATAATTGTATAGAAGGCTAAAATCTGATATTTAGATTTTTAAAATAGCCTTATTCAAAACTATTTGACTTACAAATAGTTGTATTTGTCTTACTCAAAACTTTTTGATTTACAAACTTGGTTGTCAGATCTTGTTTGCATTTTTGCAGTCTTCTATCAGTATAATTCTAACTACTGAGATGCAGGTCTTGGCGTATTCGGGTCTTTTCCCGTGTAAGATTGAAAGTATCTTGGCGACGTTTCGACGAGGTCCCACTCATCATCTTCAGGCTGGGGTCTTCGGCTTTGTGCTTGTGTGAGCAAAGTGTGATCGCTCCGATCTCTATAAATATTGGTTACAACACAGCCAACCACGCAGGATGTTGCAACACAGAACTCAGGATATCACTACACTAGATCTCAGGATGTCATCACACAGCCCATTACCCAAGCCGTTAACAACACAAAAGACTAATGGGCACACAGCCAGCAGCTCAGCTACTCAGGATGTTACGAAACAGCCGAACAATCCGCGAACAATAACTCCAACACACCAACCAACCCACCGACAGCCACAAAGCCAGCACTCCACACACCCCACCAATATTTATAGAGAGGCGGCAGCTCCGATCACACTTTGCTCACACAAGCACGAAGCTGAAGACCCCAGCCTGAAGATGATGAGTGGGACCTCGTTGAAAGGTCGCCAAGATACTCTCAATCTTACACGGGAAAAGACCCAAATACGCCAAGACCTGCATATATGTATGTATGTATGTATATTTGGTTTTTTACAGTAACAATCCTTGGTGCTTGGTAAACGTGTTGTCTGGGTTCACATTTAACAATGATTAATAGTAATTAATTTTTATAAGTCCATAGTTAACATGTTAGATAGTAATATACTTCTTTGATCCTCTCTTCTTCCAGTAATATTCTCATTTTACCAGCATTAGGCAAATACACTTCTTGGTACTATAGATACATACAAAATTAGATATAGATATTTTTCTAGTGTTTATACAAATAACAATAATATCAATATATAACATCTTTTCTAACCACCTTATGTTTCAGTTGTATTTGCAGGTCTTATTGAATCAATGTAGATCCTATTTTTCAAGCTCTTATTTGAATTTAGTTTCCCATCAGTATTCAAAAAATTATTGTCAGTTATGATTTTCTCAAAGTTGGTTACATTTAAGTGTCCAGACATTTCACTCATCTAAGCCATCCCAATATTTTTACATTTCCCATATTATAAAAAAGTGCTATTCTAATTATAAATCATATCCCTCTTACTATAAAATCCATTTATATCCAAAAGTTATCTATTCTTTTAACCATATTCAAACAAATGTTTAGTCATGTAATACCCCATATGTTAGGTCAAATAATCTGTTCTCTTAAGTCTAACTCTAGCTTTCTTCTTTTGCCAAGCCACGTTCCAAGTCAGTGTATTCAAATCAGCAAGGATTTTTTTCTGTATTTTTATGGATGTTGTTTGGAATGGGAGAAACAATTTAGGTGGAGTATTTTTGAGGGGGAATTTCATCCATTTGTATTCATTAAATCATTCCCACTTTCCTTCTTCCTCAACTTCTCTTTTCATTTTTTGTCTCCCAAACTCTAGTGATTCTCCTGACAAATCTATAATTTATTTTATCAGATCTTTTTTCTTGTCCTCGGGTATATTTTGAAGTCCTGAAAGATAAGGTTCCTTTCCATTTCTGGTATTATAACAAAATAAAAAGAAAGATTTTTCTTTGCTTGCACCAGAGCCAGACTAATTCTCTTCATTTGTAGCCTCCAACTTTTGGTCATTTTCCTCTAGTTTATGTTTTTTTTTTTACTTGTTTGTTCATTCTTTGTCCTCATTTTCTGAGAGTTTTTTCACTGTAAGCTTAGATTAAGGATTTGCTTATTTATATTGTTTATATTGTTTTTATTCTCATCATAGTTTTTTCTTGTGTGTTCTTTATATGAAAGAATTGTCTTTTGAATTGATTGCAGCATAGCATGTATTTCCTCCTGGAAGGTGTTTGCCTTGTCTTGAGGTGTCACTCCTGCAGATCCCTGATATACCGGGCTGGGGGCTTCAGATGAGAATGTTGGATGTGGTTTTCTATCACATTTTGTTAGATATGTAGCACCCATTTTATCTCCCCCCTCCAGATAATCTATCAAAAATACCATAATCCCCGAGTATTAGCCTTAACTAATACAACCAATCTTAAGGTCCATGCAGCAAAGTCTTGTATAGTTCTTATGGTCTTTATGTATGGCCTTTATAATTCAGTTGTTAATCCACCATTAAAAGCAATGTTTTATAACAGTTCTTCTACTCATGGTCCAACAATTATCAATCAGCCAAAGTTTGCGGTCCAAAATGTTAAACCACCTAAGAACAGTCCAAGAACCTTCACCCTTCAAAAGTAGCCAAAAGTCAAGGTTTTTCTTTCTCTGCAATAGTTCTTAAGCTTAAAAATCAAAGCTCAGTAGATGTTTATAATCCAGGAAGGTCAGCAGTTTTTATAACAATTGTAGTTCTCATTATAGCCCAATGTATTTTCCTCTGTTCCCAGCTGTTCTCTATTAAACTAAGAGTCACGGGATCAAAGGAACAAGTTACCATATCTGTTTCTGGGCATCTTGCCAATTTCTCAGTCAAGACAGTTGTAGTGCTATATTCTGATCCACCACTAGATGTCATTAGATATTCATTTTCTGACTTTTAAAACAAAAAAATATTTTCTTGTAGTTTCATCCCAATACTCGTTCAAAGAGAAAATCTTAACAATTTCCTCAGTTTTGTTTGTCCAAACTATAGCTTCTACTTCAATATATTTCTGTCTCCCATAAAAATTAAAATGCCGCTTCTGTCTTTGGAAGGGTGGGGCTGCAATCCCCTTCCTTTTCACTTTCGGAGGGTTTTTTGCTTCTTGGGAGCCTTTTCCAGGCAATACAGTTGTAAAATAGAAAAGATCAATATTCTCACCCAGTTCCAAACACGTTCACTATCTGTTCTAATTGGTGCTTTTTTGCTTCGGTTGTCTGTAGCTTGGGCTAGTCATGGAAGTGCAGCTAGCCTTTCTCCTGCCTGTTTGGAGGGCTTTCCCCGGATCAAACAGATCGACCGCCATCTTTCTGTGATCGACGGGGGGGTGTGTGTCTCTCCTTCATCACCTCTCGGGAGCAACTTTAGATCCATTAAGAGTCCCCTGGCAGAAATAGGAAACTTACTCTAGCTACCTCGTACAAGGAAAATCTTTATAAGATGTTTTATAGATGGCACTTCCCACCTGTAAGGTTAGCCAAAATGGGTCCAAATATCTCACCTTTATGCTGGAAATGTAAAACAGCAATAAGATCATATTATCATATGTGGTGGGGATGCTCAAAGGCTTGTGAGTATTGGAACAGGATACGAAGATGGCTGAAAGATATATTAATGTTGGACTTAGAGTTAAAACCTGAACTTTTCCTGTTGGGAATAACTACAGAGAAATACAATAAGGGAACAATCTATTTGCTGTTACATATCTTGACTGCAGTTAGGCTAGTGTTCGCGCAAAAATGGAAGAGCAAAGAAATTCCCACAGAGGAAAAGACACTATATAAAATATTATCATGTGCGGAAATGGACAGGCTCACAATGGTATTGAAAGACAAATGTAGATCAGTTTATTTCGAAACCTGGGATAAATTTTACTGCTGGAGGGATTCAAGGAGGATGGTTGGAATTATAGGCTAGCGTTAAGATAGAAATATATGTAATTTTAGGTTAGAAAATAGAGAAATAGTTTAAGTATTGTATATAAAATTTAGATGTATATTCAGAGATGAAGAACCGATTGTACAATGTGAAATAATTTGATAATATATATACTGGAATGTCACGTTATATCCAATGTTTCTTTTAATTGTATTATAAATAAAAGAATCCCCTGGCAGGGGGAAACCAGCTGTGGGGTGCGAGCCCCACAATCCCTTGGCTGCGTCGCTACAACGCAAACCAGAAGTCTCCCGGTTTGCTTTCCTTCTAAGTTGGGCAGTCTGTTCTCATCCATTCTTTTTTGAATTACGATAATTTGTTGATAGAAAATAAAGATTTTGGAGTGAAAGCTTTTCTTCATGTCATAGAAACATAGAAAATTGATGGCAGAAAAAGACATACTGGTCCTTTCAGTTTGGTCTTTGAAATTATTATTTTATTTTTAAAATTTTTGTCAATGATGGACCTGTGCTTATCCCAAACATGTTCACTATCTCCAATGGAAATTGGTTTCAAGCTTCCACTATTCTTTCTGTGAAGTAATACTTTCTAACTTACTTTTGAATTTCCATCCTGTCAGATTGAGGTTATGCCTCTATGTTCTTGATTTTTGCTTAATATTGAAAATACTGCCTTCTAGAAACTTATTTACACCCTTAATGTATTTAAATGTTTCAATCATGTCTCCCCTTTCTCTTCTTTCCACAAGACTGTACATATTCAGTTCCTCCAATCTCTACTGATTTGTTTGTCCCTCAGACCTTGCATCACTCACTCAATCTTATCAATATATTTTTTTAAATGAGGTTTCCAGAATTGGATCCTGTTCCAAATGGGATCTGATTAAAGCCCTAAGTAGCAAAATTAGGATCTCCTTTTTCCTGATGGTGATCCTTCTAGAGATGCATCCCAGAATTTTGTTGCCATTATAGCTGCCTATTTACTTATTTTGCATCATCTGCTCTGAACGTACCTAAATCCTTTTCTTCTGTTATTCTGTTTAACACTGTATCCCTAAGACTATCCCTAGAAGATTCTTTTTTTCCAAGTACATGATCTTGCATTTACAAACACTGAATTGCAGTTTCCACATTTTTTACCAATTCCCAGCAATGTCAAATAATTTACCATCTTACAAATACCTTCAGGAATATCAACTCTTATTACACACGTTTATTACACAGCAGAAAGACAAACCTTATCTAGCAATCCTTCTGTTGTATCGCTTACAAACCAAGACCTAGGACTGAGCCTTATGGTACAATCAAATCAAAGTAGAGAAATAGCTTCCCAGCAGCCAATTAATTGCCACATCCCAGGAAATTTCCAATCTCCAACTTACCCTCTGACTTCAAATATTACACAGATTATAAATTTGCAAAGCAATTTTCACTTCTGAACAGTTCTTGTATTTAGAAAGCATCACTGGGATGTGGGCAGAACATATGCAAAAAATCTAATCATATTTTGGTATTAAATCATGGAGTACTAACTGCTAAATATGTACAACAAGTCTGGACTACTTCTCTTCTAAGGAATTCAAACTTCTAAGGAATTCAAACATGTACCTCCATATTGAGGTATAATTAGCTTCTCCACTTAGAAAATGGTAAAGAGAATTTTAGGGTACCGACAATCTGTATATCTTTATTTAGAAAATCTATAAAGGACAGATTCATTTTCATTATATGAATTTTCCCTTTTCAGACCCGTTTGCTGATGCAACTAAGGGCGACGACTTACTCCCGTCAGGGACTGAAGACTATATCCATATAAGGATCCAGCAGCGAAACGGCAGAAAGACATTAACGACTGTTCAGGGAATTGCTGATGACTATGACAAAAAGAAGCTTGTGAAAGCATTCAAAAAGGTAAAGTTTCTGTTTCTTGGATTTTGAAATGTTTTAGCTAAGAATGTCCAAACTGAAAGTACATACATTTATATATATACATTAATTTATATAGATATTCTAAAAGTGCTATGATAGTTCTGAAATTGCGTTATGCCAATATAATAATTTTTGTTTTAGCTAGTAAAAACAAGTGCTAAATGTTTTTAAAGAAACAATTAACTTCCGATTGATTTTTGAAAACTCTTTTGAGCAGTAATGGTGATAGTCTCCTAAAACTGCCATATTTGGAGAGGATTAAGGTCTCTAACCCCTATGCTTAGAAATATTGCAAAATATAATCAGAATTTAATATCAATTGTTCCTGGAATATTCTTTAATATTGTGCTAATCTGCTGCTTTTGCTAATAACAATTATTTCAGGAAAATGCGGATTTAAAAGCAAACTAAAATTTTAATACTATCTTTCTAAAATATATGAATGAACTAAAATGGTGGCTAAAGAGATCTAATATGAAGTCTACATGAAAGATGCCCAAACTATATGAAATAGAAGTAGAACAAATAGTATTAACTAGTGATAATCAGAAGTAGAACTATAAATGGTATTTACTGGAAAACCATAATAATTTATTTGGGAGGACTATGTCAATTCAGAACAATAAACTTAAATTTACTAGTGCCTTGGCAAGATCCTTCATTAGCAAAATTCAATTGAAAGATTAGAGCTATGCCTTATAATCAGAATTATATGGTATAATGCAGTGGGGTATAACTCAAATAGAAATGTGGGTACTAAATATATATAAGAATCCCTGCAGGCCACATACTGACTTTGAAAAATACACATTTATATATATTTTTCTTTGACTAATGCATCAACATAACGAAGTAGAATCTAGTTATAACTAAAACTTAACTAAATATTATAATTTTGATTATATATGTATGTGTGTATGTGTGTGTGTGTGTGTGTGTGTGTGTACATAATTGAGGTGGCACAAATTGAGAAATCTTTCTAGTGAGTAGAAAGGCTGGATTAAAAGACAGCACTGAGGCATTGATCGTAGCAGCACAAGAACAGGCAATAAGCACCAGATCCATAGAAGGAAGGGTGTACCACACTAGACAGGACCCAAGGTGAGACTATGCAGGGAGGTCTCAGGGACAGTCTCCCCCAGCAGAATGTAAGATTAAGGCAGGAACAGCACATACTGATTGGCACAACCAAGTAGATGGCTTTGTATACAAAAATATCTGTACAGAATATGAGCTAAACTCTCCTAAGGCTGTATGGGAGATCCCATAAAAGATTGTGGAGAATAAGAAAGCTATGGTCCTTTGGGACTTACACAACCAGACTGACAGGAGGTAGTGGCCAATTAACCAGACATTGTGGTAGTATAATAGACAAGGGCCAAAAGACAGCTATGGCGATAGATGTAATGTGCCAATTGACAACATAAGGAAGAAGGAGTATGAGAAAGTGGAGAAATACCAGGCCTGAAGGATCAACTGGAACAATTATGGAAAGTAAATACCAAAGTTAGGAACACTCAGGACTGTGACTCCTAAACAGGGAGTATGGCATCAGCAGATCCCAGGAATGACATCAGAGCTCTCATCAGAAGAGTGCCATGCACCACTTTCACACCTCCTGCTTCCTCTTACCACCTCCCTGCAATGTTCCTTTTAATCTTTTACATCTCATGTATGAGAAAAAATGTTTTGTGTGGCTTCTGCCATACTAAGTACAAATTTGTATGCAAGAAATCTGTCTGCCTGCTGTCTGGGGGAATAGGCACAAGCTTGCTGCCTCAGTTTAATTGCATCAGCTAAGGGAACTTGTGGTTACCATGGAGCAGACTGAGAAGGAGCTTTTATCACATGGTGCTTCTACTCTAGTTGCTCCCCAACAGCACCAAGCAATCTCTGCTACTATAAGCTGAGACAGTGAGCTTGTGCAGGACTCCCTCTTAAATCAGGACGCCAATGTTTTGGTTGTTGTTGATTAAATTATTATTATTTAGTTTTAAAATGTAATATCTATGCTTTGTTTTATTTTCTTAAATACGATTCTTTTGCACTTTAATCTGGTCCAGGTCTCCCATGTTCAAAGTTCTGACAGCCACCACTTACTCATATCCCTGTGGTCATGTGACCATATTTTGGGCGCTCAGTAATCAGCCCACATTTACATCCATTTGCAGCTTGCCATAGTCTTGTTACTGCAGTTTATAACATTTTTGCTGGAAACTGCAAAAAAAGTCTCCATAATGAAGAATGGGTTGACTTAATGACTGAGGCATTTGCTTAACCAACAAGCATTTGCTTTATGGGTACCACATACAGGTAATCTTCGAGTTACAAGCTTTCCCTTAGCAAACATTCAAATTTATGCAATAAGTGTCCCCTAGTGTTTACGAAAAAGTCCCAAAATTAGAAATGTTGCCGCATCATGGCAATTGTTCACAGTTACAAACAACCGCAGTGGCACTGCAACATTCACCCTGGATATTCCCTCCCCCCACCACCACCATTGATCACTCTAGGTACTAGGCCTTGGATACTCAACCCTGTGAAGATCAATATCCTTCGCTTTCTTGGTTGCTCCAGCCCTTCGGTGTATTCACAGAAAATGGAGGCCTAAAGTAACGCAAGATCACATGAGATCAGTGGAGCAAGATTTCACACTGATCTTGTGTGATCTCATGGTACTTCTGGCCTCTGTTCTCTGCAACAGAGAATGGAACCGAAGCCGGGGGAGGCTTCCTAGTGCCTCCGGAGGTTCGATACAGGCAGAAGAGGCCTTTTCCGGGCTGCCGCCACCCAGAAAGGAGGCCTTGGGAGGCTTTTGCATGCCTCCGGAGGCCCAATAAATGCATTAGAGGCCTTTTCTGGGCTGCTGACACCCAGAAAGGAGAATGGAAGATGCTTCCGTGGGCCTCTGAAGGTCCATTCTGGGCCTCAGAGGCCTCCTCCAGGCCTCAGAGGCCAAAATAGAAGCTGTGGGAGGCTTTTGCATGCTTCCAGAGGTCCATTCAGGTCCTTGGAAGCCTCTGAGGCTCAAAACAAGAGGCCAGAGAAGGCTTTTCTGTGCCTCTGGAGGTCTGTTCTGGGCCTCAAAGGCCTCCTCCACACCTCTGAGGCCCAGAACGGAGGCCGGGGGTGGTGATCATGTGCTTACCGAGGTCCATTCTGAGTCTCGGAGGCCTCCCTCTGCTCTTGCCAGGAGCAGAGAAAGAAACAGAGAGGCTGGACAGGAGGCAGATCTTCACAAGGTAAGTGACCTGGCATGGCAGGATTGGGCAGGAGAGCAATTGTGACCCCAGGAGGTTTCTCAGTGAAGAGGCTTGGGTGGTCTGAAGCAGATGACCTGTTCCATCACTAGCCCCCCCATGGCCTTCCCCACTCTGAGATACCCACACATTAAATTAGTAAATACTTGGCCAAAAACTGGAAGTGAATTGCGTTCAAGGTACGAGATTCACCCCTACGAATCCTTGAGATATGAATGGAAGGGCAGGCTCCATTACATTCGTAACTCGAGGACTACCTGTAATCACTACAAAAAAGCTCATAAAATTGAGTGTAGTCAAATGATGACTTGTTTAATTATGCGACTTAAAATCATAATTGCAGACTCATTAATATTTGTAAATTAAGTATTATCTGTTATGGAAATAGCATCAAGTACCTGAAAAACAATTTGTTGCCACTGAATATAGCAATGTTTTTCTGCAGAAATTTGCTTGTAATGGTACTGTGATTGAACATCCTGAATACGGGGAAGTTATCCAGTTACAGGGTGACCAGAGGAAGAACATTTGCCAATTCCTTTTAGAGGTGAGTGACTTGTTACAACTCTTTCAATTCAGACTGCTGACTCAAATATTACAATGCACGTAGCTTATTTAAGTTAAACAAATACTTGAAAATTGTTAATATGCTTTGGGTCCGAACAAGATAAAAAAATAGAATTTTGTGAGTCATTTTTGTGAGCTTTATTGTCTTCTCTAAATTGATAAAGAACTTAATCTTGAGGCTAAATGGAAGAATGTAACAACTTGACTCTAACATTTGCTTTTTTGAATATCGCAGTTGATGCCATATATTTTGAATAGTTAAGATTTTATTGTAGGAGGTTTTAAGGAAGCATTTGAGGGTTCTCTAGCTTGACTTGTAAACTGAAAACTGCTGCTATATGTAATTATGTACCAATCTCAGCTGCTCATCATTGTACTTTGATTAATATGTGGATTTATTTTATGTGACATTTCTAGTCCTAACTGCCAAGGGCTTACTGATGTTTGTATATTTTCTGCAGGTTGGCATTGTTAAGGAGGAACAACTGAAAGTTCACGGCTTCTGAAATGTGTATACTTACCTAAAGAATTCTATAGGTTTTATTTTATCAAGTGAGCTACTCTGTGAAATATGATTCTTTATAGTAAATGGTCTTCCCATTCAAATTTTGATTTGCTTTTGCATGATTACAGAAAAGGTATGGATTGCAGATTAGAAACACATAAGATTGCAGCAAGATGGTAACAAGAAGTGCTTAAGAATGTTAAGCATTTCCAATGGAAATGTTTTATTGCTGATAGTTCAGTGTATTTATTCATCTGATTTAAATGTATTAAAACCATGTGTGTTGCAGCTTAAATAAACTCTCTTTATCTTAACCATTTGTGTAGAATGCCTTATGTACTTCAGCCAATTTACGCATATAATCAGCTTTTTAACTAGATAGCAGACCAGCTCAAACTTCAGAAGCTAAGACTCAAGCATTTAGTACAGCTAAATTGACATAAAGTTTTCAATATTACTTAGTAGTCAAATATAAACTATTAGCTATTCCTTGCATGTATGAGAATTATATTAAGTCTAATTAATACCCAAGAAATGCTGCATTGCTGGGGCTTGCTGAATTCATTTCCATATAGGGTGTACAAGAACTCAAACCATTTTGATAGAAAGCTTCACAAAATCCCACTATAAATACAGAACAGCAGTTTTGCATTGTGTGTGTGTGTATGTATATGTATACATAGAATTACCTGAAGTCTTACACTTGGAATAGTTTGCATCAAAGTTACCATGATGCTTTTGCACACAAAACTTCTCTATTACTTTTGCTACTGATAGCATATCAATAAACTTGGATTGTTAAGCCTTATTCTTAAGAAATGTGATAGGATGATCTGTTACAGAAGATATTGCTGCTTGAAGAAAAAAGTGTGCATCCTGAATAACCAGTTGATGAATAACCTAATTGAATAGGTGTCTGATGATTCCCAATCATCCTAGTCAAAAGGAAAGCATATGTTCCAAGTTGAATTCTTGTTCTGCTAGATCAGACATGTCAAACACAGATTTGGCCCCTGGGGCTGTCTCAGAAATGGCAAGGGACCGGCCCCCGCTGCCCCAGCCCTGGCCCACCCCAACCCAGCTGGATGCGCCTGCAGCGCCCACACATGAAATGGCGAGCACTCGGGCTGGTGGTGCGCAGCAGCAGCTCATTTGCCTCATCCCGCCCACCCCTCCCAGCCTAATCCCGTCACGCCTAGTTATGCCCTGCTTTGCCGGGCCTCTCGTCCGGCTCTGCTGTGCCGGGCTGCACCTTTCCTTGCTCCGGCCATGGCATTCTGTAAGCTTAGCACCCCAGGAATATGCCCGGCCTGTGGGATGAAAGGCAGGGAGATGGGAGCGTGCAGTGGCACAAGCCGAGTGTTGGCCTGCTCCTGGTCTCCCTCTCCACTACGTGGTTGGACCAGAGAGAGGAATGCAGCACTCATGCCAGATACAGAGCCCAGAGAGTCGCAGCCTGGCAACGTGTGAACCTCTGTGGTGGCTGGAGAGAAGGGGTGAGAAGGAGAAAGCAGGAAGGGTCTCTCTCTCTCTCTCTCTCTCACACACACACACACACAGAGTGAGTGTGTGTGAGAGAGAGAGAGAGAGAGAGAGCAGTAAAAGGGAAGAGGAGGAGGAGGAAGCCGAGGTGTTACAAAAAAGAGGAGCTTCCCCCTTTCCCTCCCACTCTTTTTTTTAACCTCCTCCCACTTCTTCAGGTGCTGCTGGAGGAAAAGAGCAATAAGGGGGAGAAAGCAGGGAGAGTTTCTGTGAGTGAGAGAGAGAGAGATTGAGCCAGCAGGGAAGCTAAAGCGGGAACGGGGAGCGTTGCAAACAGAGTAAGCAAACTTACAAAAAGAGGATCTCTCTGTCTCTCTCTCTCTCTCACACACACACACACAGAGGCTGCATCAGGGAGGTGGTGTGCAGGCAGGCAGAGCAAACTTGCAGATTGGTTTTGTGGTCTATTGCCGCCTCCCCTCCCTAAAATCCAGGCAATAATATAATTCTTTGGATTGAATGGGAAGTTAAGAGGAATTGGCATGAGTTGAAATTAAAAGGCCGAGTCAACTCCCCCCCCCCAATTATTGTCGAGACGCGGAAAGTGTTTCTTGCTTCTACTTCCTCTCATCTGCTCTTTTATCAATTAATCCAGCCTTACCCAAACTAATGTCTTTTGGGTGTCATGGACCACAGTTCCCATCATCCTGTGGCTATGCTGGCTAGAAATGGAATGCCTTATTTTCTCTGCAATATGCGCCTAGGAGGCAGTAGGTCTGTGGGGTTTAGATGTATTTAAACATTTGTTTCTTCTGCCTTATTTATTAAATCATTGTCTAATTTGAAATTAAATGTTTCTGAAAAATCCAGGGTAGTTTACAAGAAAACTCTCAAAGACAGCTATTGTAAAGCATCACCAGCACTGCTTAAAACAATATTAAAAGTGTGTATTTTAAGAAAGAAAAGTATTAGTAGTAATTTACTTAGTGCTGTTTGACTATAAAATGTTTTGTTGTTCTACATATGCCTGGCTGAACAGTGTGTTTGGAGTTGCCTCTAAATGGGTGAGGGATGCACTTCATATTTTCCTTGGGAGAAAGTTCTATAATGGGGGTGCTGTCTTTGAGAAGGCTCTGCTCATGGCCACTGTTCTATAAACCAAACCAGGGGGATCATCTGGTCTAAATGGATGGTAAACAAAGATGATTAGGGGGCTGGAAGCTAAAACATGTGACAAATGTTTGTGGGAATTGGGTATGTCTAGCTTAGTGAAAAGGACTAGGGTGATGACATGATAGCAGTATTCCAATATTTGATGGGTTGTCACAATGAAGAAGGGGTCAACCTATTTTCCAAAGCATCAGAAGGCAATAATAGATAGAAACTAATCAAGAAGAAAACCAGCCTAGAACTAAGGACTCGTGAAAACAACTAACCAGTGAAAAGGTTTGCCTTCAGAAGTTGTGGATGCTCCATCACTGGACGCTTTTAAGAAGAGATTGGATATTCCATTACCTGGAATGGTATAGGTCCCCTTCTTGAGCCAGGGGTTGGACTAGAAGACCTCAAAGGTCTCTTCCAACTCTTATTCTTTGAGAAAAGTGCTGCCAACCTCTCCCCCTCCCCTCATCCCATTCTGGGCACAGAGAGGGAGGGAAGGAGGGGAGGGAAACAGGAAGAAAGTAAGGGAAGGAAGGAGATGGAAATGAAAAGGAGGGAGGAAGGAAGGAAGGAGGGAGGGAAGGAAGGAAGGAAGGAAGGAAGGAAGGAAGGAAGGAAGGAAGGAAGGAAGGAAGGAAGGAGATTGGAATGAGAGGGAGGGGGGGCCTGAGGGAAGTCCTACTTTAGCACTTGGCCACCAGCAGCCCTGTTACCCTTTCGCCATCCCCTGGTGGTCCTGCATCCTATTTCTGAGAATGCTTTGGTTACAGAGCCAGGTCTCCTCGCATGGAGATGGAGTGGGCCTCCCTCTGACCCACACACTTTGCCCTCCTACACTCACCATGAGCAACCTGGCCAAGGAAAGCGAGCACAGCAGCAACAGCCTTGAGGAGGTAAGCACAGCTGGGTGCCTCCTCGGGGAAGTACGGCTGGGCTAGGCAGGGGGTCCCGGTGCTGTGGGAGCTCAAGGGCCAGGCTGGGTGCTTGACCTCCGCTGGCCGGGGCTCTGGGCACTCCGTGCCATCGTCCAGGGCACCCCTGCACGGCCTGAGGAATGGTGAGGCTTCTTCAGTGGTCCTGGCGCTCGCCCCGGTCCCATCCACCCCTCTGCTGGAGACCCTCGGATCCGCCAGGCGCCCCTGACATGAGTGACATTGAGCTGGCCACACCCACCCAGTAGCACTCTCTGGGTTGTTTACAATGTAGAAACATTGTTTCCATATTGCGTCCAACAACCTGGGTCCTCATTTTACTGAGTTCGGAAGGATGGAAGGCTGAGTCAATCTTGAGCCCTGTCAGGATCAAACTCTAGATCGTGGGCCGAGTTTGCTTGCAATACTGCACTTTAATGACTGTGCCACGAGGGCGCTTTATAAAATCTTGATTATCAAGACTTTATCATCTGTTTGCTAGACATTATTAAACGAGGACTTTCTTCTCTAAGGATATCAAGATCTGAATTTAACAGAAAGAAGAAAGATGCAATCCAATTCAACAAATTAAGAACAGGAGGGAGGGGATGAAGCAACGAGCAGCCTCTCAAGTTTCCATGCTGGCAGAATTGTCTCTAACTGTTTAGTCCAGCTATTATAGGACAAATTGTATTACTTCAAATAATTAATTTTCAATAAATTTTGTAAAGTTTAAATGTGCACAATATTTTAAATTAGGACTGGGAATTGTTAATACTGAGGGTTAGGTTTTAGATATAAGGTCTACATAACTCTAATGTGTGAAAGCAGAGTTAAAGATGAGGATGTGCCATATCTTTTATACTGTAAGACTGAGCATTTCCATGGTTAAGAGGCTATACTTGATTTTTTTAAATCAGTTTTTAAGATCCATGGTGACATAATAGTGATGACGTAACATCACCAATGGAAGATGTAATATTCTTGGTTTTTCAATTGACTGAAGAAAAAGCATGTTATGCCTAACAGAAACTTCTGGTTTAAATGTACACAATTTCCCCATATACACCCCTCAAAGTCAACATCATTCGGAAGCTGTAGAATTTGTAAGAAAAGAACCTGGAGAATCTTTGAAGGTGAAATTATTGTGTTTGTGCTGTTGGTCTATTTGAATGTCACCAGATGGCGTATTTCTTAAAATTTACAGTGCGTTTTTTTTCTACCAATCAAACGTATTAGAATTAAGAGTAAGTTTTTTAGCTGCTTGCTTAACTGAAACTTCAAGAAGCAACTACAGTGAATCTGCAAAATTTATGGCATAGACAGGCAGTCCAAAGTAACCAAATAATAGAAGTAGACCTCAAAGACCACAAAATCAAATTATTTGCAAGCCTATATTGAAAAATAATACATTATTAAAATCCCATCAAACAATCATCAAAATGGTACTTGCAGCGGATGCTTCAATTTTAATGGAGCAAATATCAATAAGTAAAACCAATGCAAACACAAGCTCTTTTAGAGTTCTCCATAATTTTTAAAAGTGGGAAGGGGTCCTGAGAGCAAAAAATTAAGAAACATTGGGTACAGAGAACAAACCTTTAATGTAGGCCAAGACCCTTTCCTTGGAGTGCAGGCTGCCTCCAAATATTGTTACACTGTAGCTTCCGTACTGTTGTATTTTTCTTGACTGGGCTTCATAGGAGTAGTAATCATACAAAGTGAGACATGTACAGATCTATACATTGGAGGAA